GCCTGGTTTCATGGGGATCACAAGGACGAAAGAAGCCCCTGTAGAGCTATCTTGGTAGAACCGACCGCTAACGGGTGAACCCGCTCAACAAGTTTGCCTTGCAAATCCTTGCGGAACATCTGGGGGAGAGGCATGTGGATTTCTTGGGATTTTGGTGCAGCGACCCAGGACATGCTGTGAGAAGAACCACACCAAGCAGGTGGGTCCTGACTTTGACAGAATGATATGGAGGTTTCTCGAAACGCGGGCCCCTACAAAGGTTCTATCCTTTGGTTTTCCTTTCAAGCACCGCAAAGGGGTCCACCATTCTGAGAAGCAATCGGCCACTTCCTTGAGATGCAAGGCTCATGCTCATTGCACAGGTGCGGACAGCCTTTGCGGCTTTTTCACATGAGAGATCCGGCAGGCGGTGACCGGCATGTTGCAGCAGTGAGTGGCATAGTGGGGGGAGGGGGTGTGGTTTCCACTTCCTTGATAGGAAACCTTCCCTTCAAATGGAGAATGAGTGAAGGCTGCCCATTGGCATCACAGGGGGCGATTTCACAACCCAGTTTTTCATGGTGTGGGCCAGGTGTGCTCAGCTGGGCCGACTAGCCTTTTGCTCTCTTTGTGCAGCAGCCTGAGCCTTTTGTTCTTCTTACGACCTTGACGACCTGCGAGTCTGTGACGACCAGGTCCACTTCCCCTCCCAAGAAACCATGTTTGCTGCCTTCCTGCGAGCATGAATTTGGTGATGGCCTTCCGACACTTCGATTGTTGAGTCTTGGGTCCAATGGCCACGGCGCAAGGATGGAGATGTGGGCATCGGCATGAAGGCGAATGCCTGCATGCGGTCGAGCGAGGCTTTCCAGGTCTAAGAAAGCTGGAGGGAAAAGCGCCTGGCGCAAGCTACCCTCCCAGACACACAGCCCGCAGAGGGAAGGGGGATTCTTGGCATACCTGACAAAAGCCCTTGGAAAAACATGGTCTTCCAATGGGCTTTTTGTTGATGTGAGGCTACGCTTGTTTCAGTACGTGCATTTTGGAGGCTGACCGGCGATTTCCCCGGAGGTCAGTGAGAACCTGATCCTCCTGTGCCCGTCCTTCTGCAAGCTCTGGCAGGGAGCCTAGCGCCACCCGAGCAGTACCCGCCAAAAAAATGTTTCCCATGCCCTTCTGAGCAAACATATCAGTTTGTCCACAGCTCGCATATCCGTGGCGCTTGCATTTTGTTTGGGTGTTTGGGTGTTCGTACTTAGCAGGATTTCGGCAGTTGTTTGAGTCGTGTTTTTTGGGGAGCGATGAAGACATCGCCACGTGACCGCCAGCGGAAATGTGTGTTTTTGTCGATGGGTACCCTGGTAAAGGGTGGGGTTGTCTCAAAGGAGGAAAGGGAAATCCACCGTTTCGAGTACAACTCCCTGTTCTGCACACACTCAAATCCTCTGCCCTGAGGTTTCAGTCATGCGCAGACGACTACTTTGCACCAGGCACAGGCGGTGCCGTCTGCCGGGCCCGCTTGGAACACTGCCGGGTTTTTGTTCGGCGCCATGGCATCACGGACATTTTTTATTCTTCTCCCAGACCTCCAGTGGTGCAAATCCCCGTTTTCCCAAGTTTTTGGAGGATTCCCGTTCCTTGTCCTTTGTTCTCCTCGTTTTCCTCTTGCAAATCAGGTACCACAAAAAAAGGGCGCCGATTCTTTTCGAAGCCCATGGACATCCAATTAGAATCGAATGGCCATTTTCACCAACGTCACTGTGGGTGACTGTGGAACAAAATTCACTGCGCCATTTTTTGCAGCTTATCCCAATATTTGTATGTGTCATCCATCTGTTTGTCCATCCACGGTATCAACTGTCAAGGATCGTTTCTTCCAGCGAGTTGCAGGTCTCGTGGCATGTGCTTTGTCTTAAGTCTTCATGCCCTTTGTGCCTTCTCGCTTTTCTGCCCGCCTGTTCGCCCTCGGCTTTCCTGCTTGGTTGCCCGCCGCGCTGGCCTCTCACTGGCCTCTCATCGCGCCAGGGATCGGTTGCACCTTGCGGCCCTAGCGCGCTTGTGTGCAGCCCCTTGAGCGAGATCACCCAGGATCGCAATTGCAACTCATGAAGAAGTCACCCCATGGAAGTCGGCGGTTTGGAGCCCGCCGGTTTGGGGATTTGGTAAATGGGAAGCCCAAACCTTCGCCCAACCACCAATTCAAAGCACCAATTGGAGGAAAGCTGACCTATGGCTTGAGGTAGGTTGGTCGAAAAGCAAATCCGAAGGGTAACCAGCTGTTTTGAGGTTCTGCCATTGGACTAGCCCATCCTGGTAGCATCGATTCGCAGCATCAGCACAGGGGAATACTGATGCGCTTCCTCGGATCCTTTTCGCCTTGGGCAGGCTTCTGCGACGGATGTTTGTCTCTGTAGCCGATTGGCTTCAGCAGCCGAGAGATCATGGAGCAACAAACGGCAACAGGATTTGCTGACGGCCTGCACGACTTGTGTGATAGGGGCACCCCCAAAAAAGGGCCGGTTTTCCTTTGGCCTGCTTTAAGCCAACCCCCCCAAAAAAATAAAGGGCATGACCTTTCATGCCACCAGGATTCCTCATCTTTTTGTGTCCACATGCACGAGGTTTGTTCTGGACATTGCTATGGTTTCTGGATCAAAATGTGGGAGGCACATGGGACACGCACGAACTCCGCCCCCCTCCCCCCCCCCCCCGCCCCCAAAGAAAGAAAGAGAAACATAATCAGGTGGGGTCTTTGCTTGCCTGTCGTTGAACATTAAAACAACAATTGCACAACATGTTCAATCACAGAAGCACACACATACACAAACATATGGGTTGTATTATTGATGACGTCAGCTTGCTTTTGATTGGGCCTTTGGCGCCTGCGACTTATTGGCACATGTCAATCTCCTCGGATGACGCCGATGTACAGGCTGGTGCTTCGCTCTGTCTTCCTTGAGCCGCGCCAAGAATACCGAACAGGACAATTTTGCTTCTGGTTAATAGAAAGGCCTACCAAGAAACATAGTAACACCATGTTGGTAGAACCAAGAGTCATGGGGTTTCGGGCGCTGCTTGTTTCTTTCTATCGTTCTCACGCACTTTGCAGGTGGTGACCATGCGGAGATTGCGGCCACGGGGCAAACTACGGGCGACGCCCGACGCTAAGCAACAGACGGAATTGCTGGTATAGTCCATTGTCAGTTTGGGCAGGACATCAGGGACCCGCTCAATTTCACCCATCTCCTCTTGGGGAAATGTCGGTCGTTTTGCCCGGAACATACGCATGGGTTCTGCGCAAGACCTGGAACGGATGGGGTTGCGAAAGCGCTTCGAGCCCTCGCAGTGCCACATGTTGGAAACTCCCGCCAATCCTTCATGTCGGAAACTCCCATGTTGGCCACTTTTTAGCCTTAGATTGATACGCCGAAGGCCCTCTTTTTGGGACTGGTTCATTTCCCCAAAGGAGTACTCCCCCGCGAAACGTACCCCGAAGCCCAAGAAGCTCCGTGAATGTGGCGAATCAGGGACCCCCAAAATGGTTTTGGTTTTGGTGTCCGTTTCATCAGCCTCAGGGTACTCTCAAAAAACACACGAGCCACACCCTTTTCGGACCTTCTGGGTTGGAGGCCGAAAGGCGGCCGAGCCCAGACCATCGTGCTGCATGGTTGCAACAGCGGTTCAGTCCATATGGACATGACCGTCAGATTGCCCCAACAGGAGAGGTTCCGAAATGCTTTTGGGCTACGCAGGTGCAACGGTGGGCTTTGTCCCTAAGTCTGGGCCCCTTGCATGTTGAGATGTTCTATGGTGCTCTCAACATTTTCTAGGGTGGGAACCCCTTTAAACCACCACTTAGAGGGTTAGTTTGAGGAGGTCACTCTAAAAGGAATGTACATGTGGAGTTGACGCGACTTGGGTTGCGTGAGGCTGGATGCGCCGACTCGACGGCGAGAAGTGCGAGCTCGACAAGCTCGAGCGACAAAGGCACATTACATGGCTGTTTAATGGAGGTCGGCAGACTTGCTTTTGGCGCGTTCATTTGGTGAAACTCGGTTTCGCGGAAGCAATCCTGGTAGGATCGCATAAGCATCAAGATTTGTATACCGGCGTGTGCCATCCAGCATCAGTCTTGCGAGCCATGACACTTTGATATCGGGAGAGCTCACTTCGCAGTCAGCTCACTGCCGGAGCGGGGAGCCGGCTAGTTTGCGGTTCAGTGGTTACCTAGTTGGTGAGTTATAGTTTGCTCATAAGCTAGTTATTTAGTTGGATAGACAGCTTAACGACTTCTTCGATGGTTAGCTAGTTACTTAGCAAGCCCTATGTGGTGATTTGGATTAGTGGTTTGGGGATTTGACCCCCTGGTTCTTGTAATAGAGAGATACAGAGACTTCAGGTGTCCTAAAATTGGCGATCTATTGGCAGTCTATTGTTTGTTGACATTATCCTAATAAAGGTATCGCTCGTTCTACTTGAACAAATGCTCGACAGTCTCTTGTTCTCCAACAGCGACAGGCTAGGGGATCTCAGCCAATCATGGATTTGGGCTTCTGGACAGGTCGTGGGGAGGCTCTGGGAAATGAGTTGCGCAAGCCAAATTCCTCTAAACACCAGGGAAGAGCCCACTGTTTCTATGGCACTGTCTCCTGGGTGAACACATTTTTATCCGCCAACATTGGCGGCCATGGAGTTGCTAAAAAGGCAATCTTGTGAGTTGCGCAAGACGCACGTGTTTGTGCTTGGCTTTGATAGGTTCGCAAGAAGCGGGCGCCGGACATACAAGTCGTCGCGTGCAAGCGAAGACGAGCTGCCGTGCAGGCATTGGGGTGCAAAGAGGTACGTGCAAGCCACATATTTTTTGCGCATCGTTCAGCATCAGCTGTCAGGAGGGTTGGGGAGAATTGGGATTATGGTCCCCTTCAGAGTCCGGAGGGCAAGTAAAAGGAGACGGTTTCAAACTTCCAGTCCCTGGTTCATTGAGGAAATCCAAACGTAGGTTGTTTAAGCCATATGATTGGTTTAACCATGTTTAAACAATGAAATGTGGCCCAACGCTGGCTGCCAGGTGGATCTTGATGACGACGATCAGGTGATCGAGACATGCTGCTCATACGAGGAGGTTCGCTGGATTTGCCGGTATGCTAAGTGCGATATGGGCGTGTGTGTTTTCAAAGGCGATCTTGGTTTAAAGAGAAGCCAAAAGGAATACCATCATTGTTGGGTCCCCCTATTTTGACACATACCCATGCATGCCTCCAAATTTGCAACTACTCCGCATTCTGTGTTCTTCTCAAACGATCCCTACTTTCGACAGGCCTTCCTTGGCTACAAGACAAAGAAGCCTTCGACATCGACATGGCTAGTGCCACGCCAATTGCTTCCTGCAGTTCAAGCGCAGGCTGGCACGCACTGTCGAGCCACGCAGAAATGACGGACCTCACTTGGATGTTTCTCGAAGTAGAGGTTCCCTGAAAATGGACGCTTTCCATTCGGTTTGCATTTATCCATTTTCCAACTAAATGATGGTCCAGTGACCCTTGGCATGCGCAGGGGACGAGAACATCAACACAAATACCCTTTCTTGCCCTGAGCTTGTGGCAGTATAGCCCTCGTGCAGCCAAGACGACAGAGAGCCAAGTCTTTGGCTTTATTCACGTTGAGTATGGGGAAAGACCCTGCAAGGCAACCATGCGGTTCTATGTTGGCATTCCTTTCCGCAAAGCAAACCGCGGGTTGCTTCCGCGCGTTTCGCGGGGAACCCCCACGATGGAGGCCCCACAACTACCATCAAGCCCTCCGGAGGAGGAGGCGCTGGAACTCGCTTGCGGAGATGTGTAGAGGGTCCTGAAGGGTCCAAAGGCGATTTCGGAACAACGACGCATTGCGAAAGCTTTGCAGGCCAGGCTTTTAGGAACGCGAAAGGGCTGCAAAAGACAAGGAGTACGAGAAAGGGCTACATTTGGCACCTTTATTTGAACAACCCCCACTTGGGGACCCTTCTGGTGGGCATTATTTACGTCCATCAAGCATTTTGTTATGATTGGTCATAACCGTGTAGATACTGGAGACTCGATCAAAAGCTTGGGTTGGCCTTGTCTTGAATGTCTCGGAATGCAGCTGGCACGATAGCTTTCACAGGAATCTAGCTTGAAGGAATTGTTTGTGGGGACCCTCATTTCAGACAAACCTACTTGTCAATGATGAGTTCCACAGCACAAGTTTTCGAGTCCTGTAATATCAAGTCCTGTAATCTCGAAGGGCCTGGCGGCATGTTTCAACACCTCGCTGAGTGCTGTGAGATGCTGCGAGGACGCGCATTGATGTGGGGTCCAAAGACTTTGGTGCTTGGGACCAATCGCCAGGATCAACTCCTCGGGGTTTTAGATGACCACGGCACGGCCGCAGATCTGAGGAAACCATCCACAGACCCGCGCGGGCGAGGTGCGGAGATTTCTTGCTCTTCGGACGGGCCCGCAGGTGGCAACTGCACCAAGTGCCAGTGGAGCTTCTGCGCATGTAAGTTGTCAAGCCAAGGCGCGGCGGGAGGTGTGAGCTTCGACAAGGGCGGTTGTAGCTTGATGCATGTTGTTTGGTTTCCAGCAGGGCAGATTGGCTGATGTTGGCCAACGTTTGATAGACATTGATTCATGTTGGTGGTCGTTGGCACATGTCGACGTTTCCAGACGTTAACTCGAAGGCTTCACTCAGTCACTCCAGCTCAGTCCAGAGGACCCAGGGCTGCACATGCGCAGCAATTTGTGCAGGCGCAAGCTGTTCGAGCCGCAGGGCGAGCGGCCGCTCGCGCTGCGGCCGCTCTTGCGGCAGCCGCTCGTGCGGCGGCCGCGCGTGCCGCTGAACGCGCCGCGGCGCGTGCCGCCATCAATTCGAGCCCGGTGGATTTGCCAAAGCAGCTGCAATTGCCAGCGATCGCAGATGCAGGACGGAGCGGGATGGCCAAGATGGGTTGAACACTGACGGCAACACAGCTGTTGTAGGTAGAATTCGAGCAACTGATGAGAGCAAGAAGAAACAAGAAGGCACCAGCTCTCTAATTGAGGTGAGGCGACCCGTGCATCCTCCTGTTTTTGTCAAATGCCTTTGCGTAGGATCAACTTGGGCACATTGCAGCAGAGCGCAGCGCAAACCATTTCCAGTTTGCGGCATGCGCACTCACAAGGGTTCAACTTTGGGGAGAGCGTTTTCACAGGTCGGAGCAATCGAGGCGGGCTTTGCCACCAGCCATGAAGCTTGAACCTCGCGGGCCTTTCAGACGCGAGCCTTTGGGCCGACCGCATGCCTGAGAGGCGTATGCTGAACATCTCGGAGTGAGCCGCCACAAACAAGCGCAGCTTTCCCAGGGTTTTATCATTTAAAGGATGCGAGCATTAAACAAACCATTTAACCAAGGGGATGGGGACCCTAATTTTGAGGTGCCTCGCTAAGGATGTGGGAAGGATGTGGGGTTGCTGTCTTGTTTCGAGGCTTTAGTTTCTGATTGAAAAGGAAGCCCCAGTTTGTGGTTTGCCCCCTTCTCTTCCGCAGATTAGCATGTAACCCCAACAGCCCATTCTTATTGAAGAAAGCCCTGAACAGGCCCCCCTAAATTTGTGGATTTGTGCCGGCACGCCCCTGAAAACCCGTGGCTTCGGTGGTCAAACCCGAGAGTTGCCTGCGCAGACCCGAAGCCTCGGGCTGAGTCGCCGCCGAAAGCTCCAGGCCGGGGCTGGCCCGAAGTCTTAGTCCGTTTCAGGGGTTCACAACAAGAAAACTCTCTCTCTCTCTCTCTATATACATACACCTACAATACAATGCAATGTAATTCAATTCAACACAGTCACCAACACGTGATTCGGCCAGGTAAACCTGCTTGCGAAAGTTTGCCATTGTGTTTATGCTGTGTGGTTCGAGATTGCACTAGCATAGTCTCACGACAGTGCTTGCAGACCATTCTTGGGCACCAATGGCTGCGGATCCGTATGCAGGTGAAGTGTCAAAAGAGTTGCTGCATCGTGCACTTCGACATGCCCGACGCAAACGAATTCAATTTGCTAGGTCAGTTGCCACCAGTAAGATGGCTGATCATTCCACGGAGTCACAGTATATAAACACCTACACCTACAATACAATGCAATGTAAGTCAATCCAATAGCTGCAAATGCAAATGCCGATGCCAATGCCAACGCCAATGCCGAATACCCATACGAGACTACCATACCATACCATACCACGCCATTGCCATTGCGATTGCCACTGACACGCCACACCATACAATACAACACATCACAGTACAACGCAATCCAATCCAAAGGCACAGCAAGACAAGACAACGCAATACAGCACATGTGATATCATATCCTATCCTATCCTATCCCATTTTATTTTATCTCATCCTATCCTATCCTACCACATTGCATCACATCACATCACATCACATATACACTTGCGTGCGTACATACATTGCTTTTGCACTTGTACCATTTTGAACAAATCTCGCTATTTTGTGGGTTGCCGATTATTCTGACACACGCACATGCTCATGGAGAGAATTGGATGATCAGAATGGCTGGCTTGCCTTGGCCTCCCCATATTGACCAAACATGGCGTTTCCAGCACCCAAGTCGATTTGCCCTGCTGTCTGCAGGAGTGACAAAGAAGCTGCTCGAGATGGGGGTGATCTCGGAGGATCCAGGGGAGAGCATGTCGTGAAGTGCCGAGCTATGGGAAGACAACAGAACCAGTACTTCCCAAACCGCGAATCTTTTCACACAACTGGGTTTACACCAGTGCATCACATTGGGTTTTGAATTCGGAGCGGAGCTGCGGCAGGCCACCCCATGTGAAATCCCTCCCTTTTTTCCGGCGCTTCGCAAAGGACCGTCGCCTGTTTGACTTGGGAGTAGAGTATTTGGAAGCATCTGGGACACCCAAACCTCGGTTTCCATTTCGTGTTCCTTTGGTCTTCCTTTCAACCCACAAGGCCCCCCAATGCTCGGCCCCCCATTTTGGAACGCCACGAAGCTGTGCCGATGTCAGGAGGCGGAGGCTTCACCAGAGGCGCCGTACTCGGAGGCGATGTGGGGAATGTGTTGAAAGATGTCCCTTGCGGTGGTGCTTATTTTGCGCCCAAACAGGGGGTTTGCAAAGGGAGATTCCTCATGAAGGTGGGTTCCAAATTAGATTTGCAGAGTACAATTGGGTATGCATCAAAATAAGGACCCCCAAAAAGGTGGTTCTCCTTTTTGGCCCTTAAACCAAGGCGGTTCTCCTTCGTGGATGAAGCTCTTGGGTAGTTGCCCAGAAGTATGCCTACACTTTGGGATCTCGAGATGGAGCATCCCCTGTGTAGCAACCTGGGGTCCCAAATTTTGAGACACATCCGCTTTGCCAAAGCGGTTCGGAGTTGGTAGCCTTTGTGGAAAGCACGTCCACGGCAAAGTCTTCAAACCCAGAGGGCCACGTTTGCATCGTTGCGTGTGCGGGAGGCATACGTCGAGCGGCTGCGCTGCAGCGCTGACTGTCACTACCGGAAATGCTGCGTCGGCGGCTGAGACGCGCGAAGCTTTGCACTGCAAAGCCACTGGACGGATGCCGCCGCTGAAATTCCGAAAAGTTCCACTTATAGAATTTGGTGAGAGTGGCGATTGAGCGAGGATTTCCGCCGTTGCAATAAGGATTCGCTCCTTCACCCTATTGCTATAGTTCCAGTGTCTCCCCAAACTCTCGGAACTCAGCCAGCCTCAGAGCAGCGCTCTGAGTCCCAACTGGTTATATTTTGGAAAGTGTCTCAATGTTGTTGCAGGCCTAACCCTGTTGCAGGTGCCTTAAAGTGAACCAGATGAGATGTCAAAACTACAGTTGCAAATAGTTTCTTGCTGGCGCAAGTTGGATTGCCAAACTCGGCCCAGTTTCGCTCCAGACGCCAGGTCTGCGGTGAGCGATTTGCAGTGGACCAACTCCGTCTTGGCTATGTGCCAGACACCGCAGCGGAGCCGCGTTGGCTTCACACCCGTTGTCTGGCAAGTGACGCGCTGCGCATGCAGCCAGGCGCCGGCGGGGGGAGGTGTAACTGATCCTGTGGATCAGCTATGGTCGTGTGAATGCTGGGATAAATCACCTACAAACTGGCGACATATTTTGTGCATTCACAGAAGGGTCTCTTATTTTAGAATGCATTCAGATTCAGGTTGCGTGACGAGCATTTGGATGGTGCCGCACTTGCCTCAGTCCTGGGTGCTTTGTTTGGGAATGCGTTTTTCCAGGTATCGTGGCCCATTTTCGTGGGTTTCGAATTGACACGCACAGAACACCATGCAGAGAGCCCCTAAGATTTTCGCGCTACGACAATGGTTGATCCACGTTGGAGACCTTGGCACTGGGCCTTGGGTTCACCTCTTCACCAGGTTAGTGGCTTCCAATTGGCTCCCTGAACTTGGGGTTGGAGACAGTGGACCCTTTGGACGTGATTTTAGATAAGCAAGGGTCCGGAAAAGACGCATTCTGGCCCTCCAAAACCATCATTGCTAGTGGAGGGTCATCGCCAAGAAAGCCATTTCACAGATGATATCCTAAGTATCGAAAGTGGGGAATAGCCTTGCGCTTGTCACGACTTGTGCGGCTGGCTTACTTGTCTTCTGTTCGGGGAACTGCTGGGAAGCGCAAGCACCGATTTTTTTCCGAAACCAGGGGGAGGCCCAAATGGGGTGAGATCCGTGTCTTCTTGTCCCCGGAGCCACCCAAAAGATAGAATCTAGTACAAGTTTCTCTACAATAGCCTTCCAGCAAGGTGAGAGTGAGTGGGGGCGCCCACCCAAGAATCTACTTTGGCCAAGTCTGGGGTCTGTGTTTCTTAAGATAAAGCGTCCTTTCAAGGCCGATTTCCTTGTGATTTCCGGATGTTTGCCTCCTATTCTCCATCCCAAAGCGTCCTGGGTGGAAGCTCACCCGTCCGTGCCTTCTTTCCGAATGTCCTAAAAAAAATAGAGAAGAAGGGGGGGAGCAAAAACACAAGCCACCGGGTTTCCCGGTGCTTCCGCGCGGGGCTTCGGCTTCCGCCGAACGCCAGGGCAGGTGGTTGCCTTTGCGCCGGCGGTGGCTGCGGAAGAGCGGCACCGGATCTTGTCGAGCCTCGGTTTCCAGGGCCGAACGGTGGCTGGTGGCGAAATCCAGAGATCGCCGCCACTCTGAAATCGGTTGAAACCATGGTTTGTTGGTATTTGCAGGGTAAGAAACGCATGGATACGATGCGTGGACTTGTGGAATCTGTTTGTTGAACTTGCAAAAAGTCTGCAGTTTTTTGCACCCTGGATCACCGGACCAAGGATTCTCAGCATCCGCCGGGCGGGTCATTCGGACGCGATCGCTGCGCCGGTGGTGCTGCGGCTCGGTGAAGTGAGCCAGCGGAGCGCACGAGCTGTGGGGCTTTGGAGGGGCTTTTGGCGGGGCTAGGGGGTTGCATGCCAGTGGGGATTGCATGCTTTGCGGGGTTGGTGGGTTGAGGGGTTACAGTAGGGGTTTGCATGTTCCTTGCTGTTCGTTTCTTTTTGCAAAATTCGGGTGTCGACGCCTGTCGCCTTTTCAAGCAGTTGCCGCCATCCCAGGCGCCCGCGGCTTTGGCGCCACGGCCCCGGCGTGTCGCAGAGGTGGCAGCGCTGCGCTGTGCCGACCGCCGGGGCGCCGCGCCCCCCGCGGCTGCGGTACATGGCGCCCATCTTGCGGCTCGAAGTGAGCCCAAACCATCCGCAAAAAGCCACTAGATGGGTGTCTTTCATTTGCTTCAGAATACTTTTGATTTTCCCCTGTTGGTTTTAAGGGGAATTTATCACTACTTTCTTTTTTCCAGGGGGCTCAGGCAAATGGAAGGTGTGTGTTCTTTTTCAGGGACCTTTTTGCTAAGGGAACCCACCAGGACCGCCACTATTTTGGGGTCCCCCTTTTCTGACACACACCCATATGAAAGGGTGTCCCGCTGGGGGTAGTGGTTTGGGAGCAGTGAAGGTGTAGAACATGCAAGGGATGTCCACATGTCTAAGATGGGTGTCCATGGGGGAGGAAAGGACTTGGTCCCCTTTGTAGCGGTTTTTTCATAAGTGAGGTTTTGATGCTTTTGAAGTTTCTTGCGTGGTTGGTTGCTCGGTTGGTTGGTGGCTTGGTTTGTGTTGGCCCTGGATTTGTCACTCCTCCCCCCCTTCGTCGCAGAGGTTGAAATCATAGCGAGCTCGCCTGGGCATAAAACAAGCTCACCCATGAAGGTTCCTTGACGATTCCCTATTTCCAGTTGGTGAATTCTACCCACTTCACTTGAAATTTGCATGATCTTGATCCATTCCACCTGTTTGTTGGGCAGCTCAAAAACCCGGTAACCCCGGTGGGCGCCCGTGCCGAGGAGCCGGGTGTCGCAGGAGGCGCGGGTGGTGCTGTTCCGGGCACGGCACCGGCGCCTGGCTGCGAACCAGGCCGCGTGGGCGGAACTGAAGCGGGGGAATCCTGGCCTATGGGCACCGTTTTGAACCAGGGGGGTCGTTTTGCCACCGTTTGTGAGAAAATTGGCGACCCCCTTTAAAAGGAATCCTTCACTACGAGGGGGTTGCACAAAAGGTGGCAAAAAGACCCCAAGGTGACCTGATCACTGGAAAGGATGGCCATGAGGTTGGGTGGAACTCAATGGTTGGAATCCGTCAACCAAAAACCAAACAATCGATGCCCAGATCCTCCTTTCTTGGACTTGTCAACCAAAAAACAACCGAAACACATCGAAGGATCTCCTTCCATTGTACAGCAAAAGGATCCAACCCAGCCACGGGAAGCTTTGCTCCCTCCGGATGGGAAGCTGACAAGCCAGAAAGGACTCAACAGCTCAAGCATGGTTGGGCAGGAACGCACATCATAAAGCCAAGCACGTTTCTGATGCGCAAAGGACACCGTTGCCCTTAGAGCCGCACTCAAAACCTGTGTAAGTGAAGGTTGGACAGTCCCACCCATAGGTGCGGGTATCCACCCTGTTGATTCTTATGGTTTTGTATATTAGGTTTTGGCTACTAAGATTTTTTGAACAGTGCTATCTCGGTCGCGAGCAAAGTCTTCAAGCATCCCAAGAATAGAGCTGGAGGGACTCGAGCCACGACCTCCGCCCTACGTTCGGTGAGCTGCCATTGCGCAAAAGCTGCGGCTGCGCATCTGGGCCAGTAACCATATTTTTTGTAACCATCAATGACATCTTCTGGCAAAACAACGCGGACAACAAACACCTGCATTCCTCTTTTGGCCCAAACAAAGCAAACGCACAGCCGTGTGCCTTGTTGTTTGAAAGCGCTCAAACTTCGAGCTTAATGAATCTCCGGCTGCATCATGTCCACCAAAGGGCCTTAAAGGGACCCCCCCCACTCGCTCACCCCACTCGCCGGAGACGCGCGCCAACCTGAGAGCTGTGCCCCGAAGGCGGGGCCCGGTGACTCGGTAGCTGTTTCGCGGCCCAGGATCGGCAAATTGGAACCTGAGGGGACTCAACTGACTAGGCAATTCTTAGTTTACATAGGGAGGACATGTGGGGCTTAGCTAAATTTGGCCCATGTCCTCTTGGGGAAACAAGTCATTTTCGCCTGGGCTCATCTATCTACTTTGGTGAGGCGTGCGTTTCTTCCCTTGAGAGAGTTAAAGCCTACTTGTGGCCAACAGTCAGCCGTGGGTGCAGCCAGGGTGACCGCTAGTGGCCCCAGCGTGGTGGGTCAGCGCGCGCAAGTGGCTGCGACGACCAGGGGCCGAGTGCCTTGGCGTTTTCAGAGGGTCTCTCGAACTTTGGGCGGTCATTCGGGGGTGGGGGGGAGATCTTAGGGGGGAGGGGAGAAAGAGGGGAATATTGCAGAGCATCGAAGGGGAGGTGGCAGCACAGCGAAAGCAGACGGAGGATCTGCGGCGGCAGGCTGAGGGGGGGAGGAGGCGCCAGGAGGAGGAGGCAAGGTTGAAGGCTGCC